TTTTCTAGTCACTACATTGAAAGAAGTAAAAAGAAACAGGTATTTTTATTTCAATATATTTTATTTAACCCAATACAACTAAAACTATCATTTCAACATGTAATCAATAGAAAAAGTCATTAGTGACAAATTTAACAGTTCTTACTTAACTGTTTTTTCCTAAATCTTCAAAATCCAGTGTGTGATTTATATTTAGAGCACATCTCAACTCAGACTAGCCACACTTCAAGTGCTCAGTGGTTACTGTATTGAACAGGCAGCTTTAAACCAGGGGTCAGCACCCTATGGCCCATGTACCAAATCCAGGCTGCAGCTTGGGTTTCTACAGCTTGCAAGCTAAGAATGGTTTTTACATTTTTTTTTTCCTTTTTGTCGTGTCCGGCAACGGATTGCAACTCTCAGTGTCGCGCCCGTACCGGACCGGGACCAGCAATGGGATCGCAACCCTCGGTGTTGCGCCCGCACCCTGCTCAGCCAGTGAGCGGGAACCGGTCTGTATGTGGGATCCGAACCCTCAGCGGGAGCGCCACCGCGCTCCCAAGCGGCGCGCTGTAGCAGTGCGCCACCAGGCTGGCCTACATTTTTAAAGGGTAGCTTAAAAATACAAAACATTCAATAGAAACTATATGTAATCCATAATACCTGAAGTATTTATTAGTAGGCTCTTTAAAGAAAGAGTCTGCAGACCCCTGCTATAATAGGTGAGTAAATCAGGGTAAGAGTCTCCTTCAGAGTCAGAGTAGTTGATCTTGAGTAAAAAGGATTTCAAAGTCCTCTTTAACAAACAGAAGACAATGAATTTAAAGTCTGTTCTTGTACACCTCTGAAACTGAAGCAGCCAAATATTTGCACATAATTTCAAGAGACACAGGTTATTGCTCCTTGTGGCTCGGGTGGCCCTTGCAGCTCCATGAAGTGAGAGTGTAAACTGGCAAAACAAACTTTAGGGTCTATCCTTCAATGATGTGGCTGAGGTCACCTAATGTAAACAAACTTGGAAGACTGTCGGACTAAAAGCCAAACTACAACTATTGCAAAGAATGAAAGAAAAGTGAGTGAATAGGTATTAATTTCCTTTTTTTCTCTACTGCACAGGTAAGTAAAGAGGGAAGCAAGCTGGGGGAGGAGAGGAATTTAGGTGGATACCTCCACTTCTGCAAAATTGGTAGTTAGACAAGTAAAGGGCATAGGAAGGAGCAACATACAAAACAACTTAAGAACAAAATAGAGAAAGAAAAGTGATAAACAAATAGACAATATATTTATAGATAAACGTATTTTGAAAAGACAGATATTAAGACTCAAGCTATATACTCTATCATTCAAAATTAATTTTGAAAGAGAAAAGGATTTCCTGCCTAAGTTATTTTAGGGTCTTTGAAAATTAAGCCTGCCTCATTTCTCACCTCTCTGAGGTGGACCATACTCTGTTTTCAATCACAGAAATAAATCGCACAAAATAAATTAGAGGACAATGAAGACACAGACCCGTCCCTGCTCCTGCCTAATGATGAAATTCTTCAATTGCACAAATGGCTCTGGATCTCATGTTAGGTGCTACTCCCCTAGGGATTGAGTGAATGACAGAAGGGGCACTTATGTCCAACAAGGATTTGTAGGTGAAAGAGACTATTATTCCAAAATGTGTGTTTGTGTATGTGTATGGGTGGGGGAGATGGATGGTAGGCAGTAATAGCAACAGTCACAAAAATCTATCATTTTCTTCATCAAAAATCTGGGCCAGGGGCTGGCCAGTTAGGTTAGCTCAGTTCGTTAGAGCACAGTCTAATAAAACCAAGGGCACAGGTTCAGATACCTGCACTGGCCAGCTGCCAAAAAAAAAAAAAAAATCAGAGCCAACACGAATATCCAATCACATCCTCCTAGGAAAATTAGGGGCCGATTTTCTCCCATTTTTTAATAGAAAGAATGAAACACGCATAATTTCTAAACAAAG